GGGCAAGTGCCACAACTGATCTGACCTGTGCGTATTGGCCCACCGCACTGCCGCTCGCAGTCGCTTCACGAACGTTGGGGATTGCCCAAACCAAGCGTTTCCGCCGCCAGCGCACGTCGCGTCGCTGTCACGTGTTTTCCATGCTCCACATCGGCACGCACAACATTCCTCTAATACTGCGACGCACATTTACCACTTCGTGCGAGATCCGGGCGGGTTCGACCGCAGGCAGTCCTCTGCCCTCTCTTTCTGGTTGGTGGGCAAGTGCCACAACTGATCTGACCTGTGCGTATTGGCCCACCGCACTGCCGCTCGCAGTCGCTTCACGAACGCTGGGGATTGCCCAAACCAAGCGTTTTTTGCAGCCGCCGCCAGCGCACGTCGCGTCACTGTCACGTGTTTTCCATGCTCCACATCGGCACGCACAACATTCCTCTAATACTGCGACGCACATGGGGGGTCGAGATCCGGGCGGGTTCGACCGCAGGCAGTCCTCTGCCCTCTCTTTCTGGTTGGCGGACAAGTACCACAACTGATCTGACCTGTGCGTATTGGCCCACCGCACTGCCGCTCGCAGTCGCTTCACGAACGCTGGGGATTGCCCAAACCAAGCGTGTTTTGCAGCCGCCGCCAGCGCACGTCGCGTCACTGTCGCGCGTTTTCCATGCTCCACATCGGCACGCACAACATTCCTCTAATACTGCGACGCACATTTGCCACTTCGTGCGAGATCCGGGCGGGTTCGACCGCAGGCAGTCCTGTGCCCTCTCTTTCTGGTTGGTGGACAAGTGCCACAACTGATCTGACCTGTGCGTATTGGCCCACCGCGCTGCCGCTCGCAGTCGCTTCACGAACGCTGGGGATTGCCCGAACCAAGCGTTTTTTGCAGCCGCCGCCAGCGCACGTCGCGTCACGGTCACGTGTTTTCCATGCTCCACATCGGCACGCACAACATTCCTTTAATACTGCGACGCACATTTGCCACTTCGTGCGAGATCCGGGCGGGTTCGACCGCAGGCAGTCCTCTGCCCTCTCTTTCTGGTTGGTGGGCAAGTGCCACAACTGATCTGACCTGTGCGTATTGGCCCACCGCACTGCCGCTCGCAGTCGCTTCGCGAACGCTGGGGATTGCCCAGGCCAAGCGTTTTTTTGCCACGTCGCGTCACTGTCACGCGTTTTCCATGCTCCACATCGGCACGCACAACATTCCTCTAATACTGCGACGCACGTTTACCACTTCGTGCGAGATCCGGGCGGGTCCGACCGCAGGCAGTCCTCTGCCCTCTCTTTCTGGTTGGTGGACAAGTACCACAACTGATCTGACCTGTGCGTATTGGCCCACCGCACTGCCGCTCGCAGTCGCTTCACGAACGCTGGGGATTGCCCGAGCCAAGCGTTTCTTGCAGCCGCCGCCAGCGCACGTCGCGTCACTGTCGCGCGTTTTCCATGCTCCACATCGGCACGCACAACATTCCTCTAATACTGCGACGCACATTTGCCATTGCGTGCGAGATCCGGGCGGGTTCGACCGCAGGCAGTCCTCTGCCCTCTCTTTCTGGTTGGCGGACAAGTACCACAACTGATCTGACCTGTGCGTATTGGCCCACCGCACTGCCGCTCGCAGTCGCTTCACGAACGTTGGGGATTGCCCAAACCAAGCGTTTGTTGCAACCACCCTCTGGATTAAAAAGTTGTGACCGGCGCTATGCGAGAGAGCGATCCCCGCGGGTTTCGTCGGTCGACTGGCCGTCGAGCCTCCGCCATCGATCGACCCCGACATGACTCCAAGGCAGGCCCGTGAACCGAATGACGGAACGGCTCCGCAGGGCGTGGAGCTCTGCAGCACGTAGTTATGGAAATCATCGCACACGAAAGCTTTGTTGTCTGGCGACATGGAAGGCAACCTGCCAGTGCTGTTTGAGGACGTCTTAAGCGAAACGACCACTCGCAGGCGGCATGAACATCGATCTGGAACTTTTTGTGAGGAAGTCCGAAGCGAAATCGCCACTTTCAGACGGCATGGGAGAATTTCAGATCGCCCTGGAAGGCGATCTGACAATTTGTTTGAAGAAGTCCTAGGCGGAATGCCACTTTCAGACGCCGGCCCCATCTGGCGTTTATAATATTAAAGGGGGCGAGGTATGCGTCTGAAACTCCCAATTCGGCATCAAATCCAACATTGTCCTGGGCCCCATGGCCTAACGGGTGGCCAACAGCGTCTCTCTCTCTCTCTCTCTCTCTCTCTCTCTCTCTCTCTCTCGAACCCCGCCGTCCCAACTTTTTAATCCAGCGGGTTGATCGCCGCCAGCGCACGTCGCGTCACTGTCGCGTGTTTTCCATGCTCCACATCGGCACGCACAACATTCCTCTGATACTGCGACGCACATTTACCACTTCGTGCGAGATCCGGGCGGGTTCGACCGCAGGCAGTCCCCTGCCCTCTCTGTCTGGTTGGTGGACAAGTACCACAACTGATCTGACCTGTGCGTATTGGCCCACCGCACTGCCGCTCGCAGTCGCTTCGCGAACGCTGGGGATTGCCCGAACCAAGCGTTTTTTTGCAGCCGCCGCCAGCGCACGTCGCGTCACTGTCACGCGTTTTCCATGCTCCACATCGGCGAGCGCAAGATTCCTCTAATACTGCGACGCACATTTGCCATTTCGTGCGAGATCCGGGCGGGTTCGACCGCAGGCAGTCCTCTGCCCTCTCTTCCTGGTTGGTGGACAAGTGCCACAACTGATCTGACCTGTGCGTATTGGCCCACCGCACTGCCGCTCGCAGTCGCTTCACGAACGCTGGGGATTGCCCAGGCCAAGCGTTTTGTGCAGCCGCCGCCAGCGCACGTCGCGTCACTGTCACGTGTTTTCCATGCTCCACATCGGCACGCACAACATTCCTCTAATACTGCGACGCACATTTGCCATTGCGTGCGAGATCCGGGCGGGTTCGACCGCAGGCAGTCCTCTGCCCTCTCTTTCTGGTTGGCGGACAAGTACCACAACTGATCTGACCTGTGCGTATTGGCCCACCGCACTGCCGCTCGCAGTCGCTTCACGAACGTTGGGGATTGCCCAAACCAAACGTTTGTTGCAACCACCCTCTGGATTAAAAAGTTGTGACCGGCACTATGCGGGAGAGCGATCCCCGCGGGTTTCGTCGGTCGACTGGCCGTCGAGACTCCACCATCGATCAACCCCGACATGACTTCAAGGCAACCCCGTGGACCGAATGACGGAACGGCTCCGCAGGGCGTGGAGCTCTGCAGCACGTAGTTATGGAAATCATCGCACACGAAATCTTTGTTGTCTGGCGACATGGAAGGCAACCTGCCAGTGCTGTTTGAGGACGTCTTAAGCGAAACGACCACTCTCAGGCGGCATGAACATCGATCTGAAACTTTTTGTGAGGAAGTCCGAAGCGAAATCGCCACTTTCAGACGACATGGGAGAATTTCAGATCGCCCTGGAAGGCGATCTGACAATTTGTTTGAAAAAGTCCTAAGCGGAATGCCACTTTCAGACGCCGGCCCCATATGGCGTTTATAATATTAAAGGGGGCGAGGTATGCGTCTGAAACTCCCAAGTCGGCATCAAATCCAACATTGTCCTGGGCCCCATGGCCTAACGGGTGGCCAACAGCGTCTCTCTCTCTCTCTCTCTCGAACCCCGCCGTCCCAACTTTTTAATCCAGCGGGTTGTAGCCAATGCGCGTCCCGCGCGAAGCAGGCACCACGCAAGAAACCGTCGCACCAGTTTGTCACCCGAGAACTGGTCGAGAAACACGAATTGATCCACCAGCGTTGTGGATCTCAACAGGTGGTGACCCAGTCCCCATCAATACGGTTTTTGTATGAATGAGGCACCACGCAGGTGATCCACCAACTGGTGGGTTACCCGAAAATTGGTTGTGCAAGCCAATTGTTTCACGTCCAGTGATGGGCCGGAGCATGAGGCCATGCATTCCCATCGAATAATATTCCTTTGTTTATGAAACAGGCACCATGCAGGCGACACACGGGCGTGAAGGTCAGCCGAAAACTGGAAAGACAAACCTGTTGTTGCACGTGCGTTTTCGGCTCCAGTATTGGGCGATGCATTTCCACCCCGTATGGAACAGGCACCACAGTGGTGACCCACGGGACGGCGTGTCAGCCCAAAACTGATAGAGAAAAGGCCAACTGTCTCAGCTGCCACGCCAAAGACCCTCGGGCGGGTGGGCCACCCGAGCACTGAAAGAAAAACCGGTTATTGCACTTCCGTCGTGGGTCTCAGCGTGAGGTGGCGCTCTCTCGTAGGAAGCAGGCACCACGCAGGTGACCCACAAGCGGGTGGTATTCCCAGTGAGCACGTTGCCCATATGAAGAAGGCAGGCGCGCAAGTGACCCCCGGGTTTGCTTAAGGAGCGGGCGGTATACCAGCGAGGAACTGGACCTTGAGGCCCTCGCCTTTGCATGCGGATAAGGGCGTAAGGTCCGACATGCGCCCCGCAAGGAACTGGTAGGGCGAGAGAAGACGCGGACCATCGCTGAAACATTTTAAGCCTGTGAGCTCCAACCCGCGTGGCCTAAGGAACGGTCGGTGCTCGAGCGAGGAACTTGACTCAAGCTTGCGAACATCATCCCAACATTTGCGAACAGCATCGCACATACCGAAAGAAAAAGGCGTGATATGTCACGCCGTAAGATAATTATTTTGACAGCGGCGCAAGGAAGCAACCCCCTCCTGGAGCTCCGTTCCAACGAGCAACCGTTTTGATCGGCAACAAGAGTCCGCGCGTGCTAAACATTGAGGGACACCGAAGGGGCTCGCCACCAAGAAAACAACATAACGCATGCAAGCCGAAGGAACCACCGAGACTCCCGGCCGACCTCGAACTGGAACTTGTTTTAACAAGCACACTTTGGAAGCTGACATACTGGGATGGGCCTAGGCGTGCACCCCAGGGGGACAGCAGAGCTCACATCTCCTGTTCCTTCTCTGATTTTCCTCCCTGACGAGTCCTCGTAGCTGTGGCCTCTGAGCTTCTTGCCGGCCGTGCCCGCGGGCAGCAGTGTGTACTGCACCCGGGGGAGGTCCAGCTGCGCGTTCCTGTCGCCCAATGCGCCAAGCGCCTCCTCGGCGTACCTCCTCGGGCACCATCCGTCGTCCTCGGCGTGCATCGCCAGGATGCCGCCCGGCACCCCCGAGTGGCCCCCGAGGCGGTTCAGGTAGGCCTGGAACTTCTCGACAGTGCCAGCCTGGGAGTCCCGGACCTTCAACGTCTTGACAACAAATCAACGCTATGGTTCGTTCGCTGCTGCCATCAACCTACAGGGCCCTCGCCGGGGCCCAGGACCGTTCACGAAAACGACTCGGGAAGACAAACCAGCCCGAGCAAAAAGGTCGGGACTTCCGGGGACCCCGTTTGGGCAGATCAAGGCATCGGGTGTATAGGGTGAGCGCAAGGAGTGACCATCGGATGCAACTCCTGGGAAATCGAATTCTGTATTTGCCCTGGTCCGAAATCCGGCTTAATCCGGGCTAATCCGGCTTAGTCCCGCTTCATCGGCTTAATCCCGCTTAATCTGGCTCAATCCGAGGCCCACTCCGGCATAAGAGCCCCCCGATGGGGCTTAATCCTCTTTAACTTTTCCGGCGGAAGCCTCCCGGCAAAGGCTTCCTGAGAGATCGAGGCTCCCCGGACCCATCCTTCGCCTGGCGTGAGCCGCGCCCTCGGAGCCCAGCCACGCGTGCTCGGGGCAGTGAAGCATCGACTCACATTGGGGACGCCAGGAGGTGCCAATACCGCTACCCCCCAAGGCCTCTCCTGGGGGGCGTTCTGGCCAGGATTTCAAGGCGCATCCAGCGGTGGCGATGACGGAGGCCCAGGAAGCGCAAGAAGGCGAAAACGAGGGAAAGGTAGCGGTACGGGTGCCTTCTCCTCTTCTGATCAAGTGTTGAGCAGGGACCGACCGTCCCGGCATTCATATTGGCCCACCACGGGATGTTCTTAGAACCCCAAGATGTTCCAATTACAAAAGCCATGTTCTTAGAACATAAGCCCGATGTGTTAAAACAAGACAGCCCCAGCCAACAATGTTCTAAGAGCATTTCGTGGAAACCACATCCGTTTCGAGGAACATTGTTTGGTAGGCCTATAAGCAAGCCAGGACGCTTCGCCACTGCTTGAAAGTGGAGCTTACCCTGGATCTCGGGCCCCCGCGGGCGAGAGGCAACGCCGCTGGCCCCCGCCGGGGAGGCCAGGAACGGCAAGCACATGTCGCCACCGTGCCAGCGGCACGCTGGGGCACGTTCGCATGCTTCTTTGCTGCCTTGTAGGATGTCCGTGGCCTTCTCGTGCCGATCACCCCCCGCTCCGGTGCCGCAGGCATGGCCAAACATCGCCCCCAGATCTGCTTCCCAACGCCGTGCTTGGGCCCCACGACGGCCGCAGATGTCCGAGACCAAGTGCGCGACGTTCCCAGATCACCCGAAGACGGCCCTCGGGCTCCCAACTGTTCCAGGATCCCCCCGCTGTGCCCGTAAAGGCCCCGAGATTTGTCCGAGAGACGCTCAAAGAGACACCCAGCGAGGCCCGAAGAGACGAAACACATGGAACGACACAACAAAAATGATGTGCATTGCTGCCGGCGCGGTCTGGCTTCAGGTCGGCTTGGAGATGCTCCGCAGAACCCCGAGAAGCCAAGACGCCCCGAGACGGCCCGAGAAGCCCCCAAGACGGCCAATACCTCCGTTTGCTAAATCAACGCCCGCCAAGAGAAATGCCGAAAAGCCCCCCCCGACCCGACACCCCATGTCTCAAAGTTGGCACGCGACCGAAAACGAGGGGAGTGCGAAGTGTTGCGAAGCAAACGCCCGCTCCTGCGAGGGGCCAATCGCTCCTCGTCAACCCTGGGAGCACGGGGGCGAGGGGGGGCCACGTTTCGACGTCATGTCACCTAGGCCCAACACGGGCGCCCATTGCGCAAACAGCGGCATCTTGGCGGCGAGCGAGGGAAGGAAATGAGAAGGAAAAGGCCTTCTCAAAGGCTCGGAAGTCCCCCAGCCTTCTGAGAAGTTGTTCTAAGCCTTCCCCGGAAACCAAGAAAACTTCTCAAAAAGCGCGAGGGCTTCTGAGAAGTCCCGCCGCCTTCTGAGAAGGCCGTCTCCTTCGCCATTCCCTCCCGCTCGCCGCTGAAGATCGCCCCAGGAAGGCTCCACGACGGCCCAGCGACCCGCACGGGCATCCCCGAGGTGGCCCGGCTGCCGGGAGGGGCCGGCACAGCCCTGGCGCCCAGGACAGCCCCAAGACCGCGGAGGGCCCCCCCCCTCACCCCACCCCACCGGCCAGCCGGCCCAAAGGCCTCCCGGAGGCCCCCGAGAAGCCTGGAACAGAGCCTCAAGATGAAGGAGGGAGGGCGGTGAAGAGGCGGCGGCGGCGGCGGCGGACGTTGGCTGATGACGCTGGGTCGTGGTCTCTGGTTCGAGGCAGCCGTTTGGGCCCTTCTCAGAGCCATTAAACCCCCGGAGCACACAGCAAACCTCAGCATCACGAGTGGGGGCACAGGATGGCCTCGAAGTGCCACGGAGCCCTCGGGACATGGAGGGCAGTCAAGGGGAAGGAGCCGAGGCCGCGCACGAGGAGGGGGGCAGTCGAGACCCGCGTCAGCCTGGGACGGGGCGCTGACATGCTGCGGATCTGAACATCGACCTCCTGACTGTTGCGCTGCCGCGCTGGCCACGCTGGCGGGTCCTGCCGCAGGCAGCGGTGTACTGCACTGCTCCTGCTCGAGCTCTGGACCCGCTGATTTTCCCTCCAGCCCGCCTTGCGCTTCTTCGGGACATCTTCCACGTCGGGTTGGCCGTGGCCGTGGAGGCCCCCCAGGGCCACCGCGTCCATATGCAGACTGCCGCGCGCCAGGAGCTCGGTGATGCAGTAGGCGCCGGCGGAGAAGCCCAGCGCAACAACCCGCCGGTCGTCAGCCAGGCTCCCGACGAAGGCTGCCAGCAAGTCCACGGTCTCGGGCACAAGCTCCCCGAGGTAGCCGTAATTCGGCTCGTCGCCGTCTAGGACCCACCATTGGCCCGGAGGCCGTAGGGGCGCCAGGAACAAGAACGGCGCCAGCCGCCAACTCATCATGGCCTCTAGCCTCTTGGCGAACGGCGCCTTCGCGTCGCCGCCCGCGTCCCCGAGGCCAGAGAAGTAGAGCACGACCGGCTCGTCCTCTGGCGGCCCGCACGCGCCCAGCTCGTCCCCAGCGGGCGCCACCCTGGCGGCGAAGTACCGCACCTCCCCGCCCGTTCTCGGGCAGCGCCAGACGTGGGGGCCCCGCAGCACGCCAGCGGGGCCACCCCAGGGCGCCGCATCCTCCAGCTGACCGCCCGTGGCCTCCGCGTCCTCCACGGGGCTCCCCTCCACGGCCTCCATCGGGCTTTCTTCCACGGCCTCCCCGGCCTCTAGGGGAACCCAAATCTGCATGAGCGTAAACGCTCGGATGTCTGCGCGGACTTCTTGGGTCGGCGCTCCGCCCCCCGGCGGCGCCTTCGGCGCACCTGGCGCGCGGCGCGCCCCAGGGGATGGGGGCCCGGCGCCGCCCCAGCAAGTCTGCGCGGACCTCCGCACGATGGTATGCTTGCGTCGCTCATTCTCCCTCGAGCCTGCGCGTCCTCCACGGGGCGCCCCTCCATGGCCTCCATCTTAGGGGAGCGAGCGATGGCACGAACACAACGACTCGAAGGTCCGCGCGGATGTCTTGGATCCGCGCTGGACCCCCCCTCCATGGCGCGCGGAGCGCGCCAGGGGCGGCGCCGGAGGCGCCGCCAGGGGCCCCCTCTCGCCGATCCGAGCAATCCGCGCGGACCTCCGAAGTGTTATTCTCGGGTTCCGGGTTCCCGGGCTCCCGGGCCCCGGGTCGATCTCCTCAGCGAAACCATCCACTGATTGGGGTCTTTCTCTGGTGCAATGATGCTTATGTCATGGTTCGTTCCCCTGCATTTCACCCGTGGCCTCCACGGGCTCCGAGACCGCCACGGGGCCCCCCTCCGCGGCTCCCACGCAGCGGTGTTCCCTGTATGCGCCCACGCCCTCGCCGCTCTGGGCCCCCGGCGCAGGCCCCAGGAAGGCCCACGGGTTGGGCGCGGGGGCAGGCTGACCCACGAGCAGGTGCCGCGGCGGCGGGGCCGAAGGAGGCCTGTGTGGTGGGCCCATTTTTTTCACCGCCGCGACCACAGGCAGGACGGAGGAGAAGGGAGGGTTGGGAGGTCCTCCTCCTCCTCCTCCCCCTCCTCCTCCTCCTCCTCCTCCTCCTCCCTCCTCCTCCTCCTCCTCCTCCTCCTCCTCCTCCTCCTCCTCCTCGTCCTCCTCCTCCTCCTCCTCCTCCCTCCGCCTCCGCCTCCTCCTCCGCCTCCTCCTCCTCCTCCTGCCTATGGTAGCTGTGGTGGAAAATGGGCCCACCAGGCCTGGGCGCACGCTGCTGCGGCTTGCGCCAGGGTGCCCCCGACGGAGTCCCTGGCGGAGCCTTGGACGTCGCGACCATCTGCTGCCGCGGCCGCTTGCCCTGCGCGTCCGAGGGCAGCCGGCACCACTCCGAGGCGGCTGCATGCGCCGTGGCGGCGGCAGCCGCAATCGTGCCCGGCGGCGGGAACGCCGGGGGGCGGGGCCGGGGCCCGCCCGCGCCGGCGCGGCTTGGCCTCGGGGTCGGCATTGGACGCCTGCGCGGTGTGTCTGCTCTCTCTCGCCGCCCGCGCGTCAGCACCGTCCTGCTCGGCCTCTGGGAGGAGCACCTCTCGGAACCATCGCGGCCAGAGAGCGGGGCCGACCGCGCGACGACCGCGCGCTCCCACCGCACCCTGCTGCGCCGCTCGAGCTACTAGCTGCGGGAAGGCACCCCCGTCGACCTTCTTCTGGGGGGGCGCAGCATCGCAATCAGAGTTAGAAGCGCTCCGCACCGCAACACAATATGTAGCAACCCGCGGTTGCGGATAAGACTGGGGGAGCGGGGGAGTGGGCAGTCTCCGGCGCTCTGAAGAAGCCCGCAGCAGGCGCAGATTTTTATGACGCATTGCACAGCGAGCCCGCCGCAGGCGCAGAAATTTCGTCAAAGCAATATGGGTGGGTCGCGGGAGGGTCGCGGAGTGCGTCGCGGGCGAGGACGGCGACAACAACGCAAAAACAGCAACAGCGACAGCAGCAACAACAACAGCAGCAACAGCAACTGCAACAACACCAGCAACACCAGCAACACCAGCAACGGCAACAGCAACAACAGCAACAGCAGCAACAAAAATACCAACACCAACCACAACAATACTGACACTAACACTAACACTAACACTAACACCAACACCAACACCAACACCAACACCAACACCAACAACGACGACAACAACAATTATCCCAGTGCGACCCTACCTAGGAGTTGGAGCATTTTGGAAAGCAACATCTACATCTACACCGACAGCTACATTTACATCTACACCTGCATCTACATCTACATCAGCATCAACAGCGAGACTCACATCTACATCTACATCCACACCTACATCTACACCTACATCTACATCTACATATACATCTACACCTACATCCACATCTACACCGACATCTACATCTACATCTACACTTTCGCATTGGTGTTGCTTTTGCTTTGCATTGCCTTTACTTTTTGTTAGTACCTTTGCTTTTGCCGCTGCCTTTGCTTTTGCTGTTGCTTTTGCTGTTGCGTTTGTTTTGCTTTTGTGTTTGTTGTTGCTTGATTATGTTGTTGCAATGCTATGGTATGCTATGCTATGCTGTGCTGTGCTATGCTATGCTATGCTGCGCTGTGATATGCTAAGCAATGCTATGCTAAGACATGCTATGCTATGCTATGCTATGCTATGCTGCGCTATGCTATGCTATGCGATGCTATGTTATGCTATGCTATGCTATGATATGCTGAGCTTTGCTATGCTATGCTATGCTAAGCTAAGCTAAGCTATGCTTGGCTATGCTATGCTATGCTATGCTGTGATAATGCTGCGCTGCGCTATGCTGCGCTGCGCTAAGCTAAGCTAAGGTAAGCTATGCTATGCTAAGCTAAGCTTAGCTAAGCTAGGCGAGGCTAGGCTAAGCTAAGCTAAGCTAAGCCAAGCCAAGCTAAGCTAAGCTAAGCTAAGCTAAGATGAGATAAGCTAAACTAAGCTAAGCTAAGCTAAGCTAGGCTAGGCAAAGCTAAGCTAAGCTAAGCTAAGATGAGATAAGCTAAGCTAAGCTAAACTGGGTGAACCCAGGGGGCGCAACTGGGGGAACCACGGGGCGGATGCCGGGGGAACCGCCCGGGGCGAGGAACACTGCCCGGCCCCTTTAAGCCAACACAGTAAGAACCCTTCTAGGCAGAGCCTAGGTAGGTAGGGAACAACAACAACACCACCACCAACAACGACAACGACAACACCAACAACATCAACAACAGCAACGACAACGACAACGACAACAACCACAACAACGCAACAACAACCTTCACCACGGAACCCCGCTTCAACCACGCGCCCAGGGACAATGAACGACCGTTCAGCCCCCTCGCTCTGATCATTGTTAGCTTGTCGGCAAGCTCGGCGTGACACACGCACCCACTAGGTCAGAACTACGGGGGCGATTGGGGTTCAAAAGGGGACAATGGTGGAAATCTCTCTCAACCAGTAACCATTACCTTAATGTCTGAGATCGTACACCAGATCCCGAAACTCAGACCAAGACAGCGCGTGCCCGCTTGAAGAAGAGAGCAGTTCGATGGAGTATGTCAAGCGACAAACTCAATCAGGGACAAGCCAAGAGGCGCGGACTTGAAATCCCAGACTCACAGATAACCGTGGCCCTGGGTTACTACTTTGAGGCCAGGATCAGGGGGCGTGGCCAAGTGACAAGCCGTCTAGTTCTATGGCACGGGAAACCAAGCTCGCTTAATTGTCCTCCTCTGGGACCTGGGCTAGAGGCTATAAGGCAGTAGTGGTGCCAGAAGAGGCCCCGTGAAGCGGATGACTGCGCGAACCTTGGCGATAGCAAGGTCTGCCACGCGGATCCTTCAGTCCCAAGGCGCCTTCAATGACCCAACGGTTGCGCTGGCAAAGTGCCCACCGGCGCCCTCCCGCCCCACTGCAAGCTGACTCCGCGCCCCGTCCCCTCCCAACGGCCTCGTCGTCCGAGGAGTACTGGGCCTGGTCGCTCACAAACTGCCAGCAGCCGATGTCGTCGCTGGCGGCGGCGAGGCTCTATGTCTCTGCCAAGGTCTGCCACCGAACGGCCGACCGGACGACGCAGAAGAGGCCAGACAGCAAGAAACTCTTTGAATACGACTTTCCCCAGTGCGTGCAGTTCCGTAGCGCTACCATGGCGGACTCAAGCTGAACCCAAAACAAGCTGCGGAACGGGAGACAGAGACTCTGGCAAGAAAGTTCCCCATGACTCCGCAGCTGTATGAAGGCTGGCATGATAAAACAACTTTGGAATGAATTCGAAAACCTGGCGCCCCTGTCACGGTGTCCGACACAAAGAAATGAGCATCGTTTAACCGATCCCCATCCCCGCTGGCATTGCACTGGCCCCACTAGCCGATTTACCCCTCTAGATGGGGGATGTAGTCTGTTCCCTTCGGACGTCGCGGGGCCTATCCCCAACTGGGGTGGGGGATGATAGGGCTGAAATTCCATGGCCTCGTGGAGACGGGGATTGAGGATAAAGTGCACCGCCATCGCAGCAGAATGGCGCGGGGCTCACTGAGCTTCTAGTGGCCACCAACCAGATCCGGGATACAGGATGTCGCCGTCACATGTGCGATTTCGGAAACCCTGAACCCAAAAACGTTTTCATCTCTTGTGGGCACATCTTTTACTTCTGCCGCCTTCAGCCGAGCTTCCACCAACTTCCACTGGCTCCCGCCGGCGGAAGCGGCCTCGTTTTACATCCGCCGACCTTCCGCCGCCTTCCACCGAGGAAGACACGACAACCGCTTCCATCCTCGAAGGCAAGGCCCTTCCTTTTTGGAACGCCGCCACATGGGCACATGGGCGGAGAGATATATATAGAGAGAGAGAGAGAGAGAGAGAGCGAGAGAGAGAGAGAAAGAGAGACCGACAGGAGGACACAGCAGCGGGGGGGGAAGGATGTTGGACGAGCGCGCTCCATTACTCGCAAAGTAACTGCTCGCAGATGGCCTGGATCCCCCGCGGGGGATCTACGATAAATCACATCAAAGCAGACATGTGCTTTCTGGGACGTTTGCGAGTGGGCACTTTGCGAGTTGTGGATGCTCGCTATCGCTCGGACGTCCATTCCATTTGTTTTTGTTCGGTTTCGTGCGTGGCTTTTTCGCCAAATGATCAAGAACCCTCCTCGATGGTCCTCGCCGAAGGAAAAATGCTGAAGGGGCCCTGGGACACACACACACACAAAACAAACAAAAAAATCACACAAATAGCAAGATTCCACATATGTTCTAATATTTTCGGTGCTTTTCTCTTCCTCCCCGCTTCCCATATTTCCCCATATTTTCTGGGAGTCGACGATTAAGTGTGTCTGTGTGTTTTTTCCTCTCCTGAAATGCACACGCCCGAGCGATGCCAAGGAGCGCGCTCGGTGACACGTGGCGCTCGGGCCCCCTTGCAAGGTGCCGGGAGCGCACGTCGGTCCCCGCCGAGCCTCGCCGAGCCCGAGCCTGGGCCCCTCCGAAGCCTAAGATCCGTGCGCGAGCCCCCCTGGGACAGCCAGGAGGGCGTGCAGAGCAGGGCTGAACCCAAACTTAGGTCGGGCCTGTCCCCCTACGGGCGAATTTTTGACGAAAAACTCAAAATAGCCAAAAAATGCCCCAGAGCAATCAAAAAGAGACAAAAAATAGTTCCCAGACTATTTTTTAACTATTTTTGAACGTGCCTGCTGTAGAGGGACAGGCCCGACTTACACCTAAACGGTGTTTTTCGTTTTCGTTTTCGTTTTGTTCTCGTTTTCCCTCGCGTTTGTCTCGAACCAGCCTTTACCGCAAAACGAAATCGGAACGAAAACGGCCCACGAAATGGCCAAAAACACCGTTTAGGTCCAGCCCTGGTACAGAGTAGGGGCTCGACCTCAAGAAACCGTCCACAAGAAATCCAACCCTGAGGCCCCAGAACGTCCGCTGGCTCTTGGTGTGGGAACGCGTCGGGCCGGGGCGCCCCGGAGGCAAGCAGGGTGTTCCTTGGCATGGGCCTCCACTGTATGCACCGGTGGTGAACCGATCTCTTTGTTCGCGTTGGCCCCCGTGACCGGCCCCGCCCCCTCCCCTGGGAGCCCCCCCTCCCCACTGGCCACGTCACGATTCGCGCCAGTAAGCCGGTTCTCGCCAGGGGGTAGAACAAGGGGCACGCGTGCCCTGACTCTTGCACCAAGTAGCTGCGAGGGACAGAAGGCTTTCGCCTCCTTCCTCCAGGCGTTTCCTTCCGTGGCCGTGTGGGGGAGGACGAACGACGAACGACGAACGAACGACGACGACGAAAATAAAGAGGTCCAAGCTCTAGAACACAGCTGTGCAA